AAATAGTTTTAAGACTGGACTCCAAATTTTTCAAGTCAATTTCATTCCTTTACTTTTATATTTTATATTTTTTAGAGAAGGCTTTATATAATACAGTTTACTCTCTCAATTTTAGTAAGAGTAAGAGATACTAGCTTTTAGCTTTTAGATTCATCAAAAGCATAGAAATTCCTTCATATTGTGATATATGATGATACAAAAAATCTAACTGAATTCATTACTTGCCATTCTATGCCTGGGCAAAATAATTTAAAAGACGGTGTAAATCCCAGATACTGTATTTTTGAAATTCACATGAGGGATCCATTTAAAGTAAAGCTGACTTAAGAAGTGTACAAACTGCCTTAATGTAGACACTCCTGAACAAAGGAGCTTCAGACACAAATATCAGCGCAAACCAGCTGAACTGTATAGTTCATCAAGAGGTGCAGTCTTGTCTCTTGTGACCTAATCAGTGACACATGCACTATGATAAAGTCGGCTAAACTATAGTTCATCAAGAAGCACAATTCTATCTTTTGTGGCCTGAACTGTAACAGTAACAATGCAGTGTGATTAAAAAAAAAAATGTTATCTTATCAGTGCAAGGATGTCTTGGTTAACGTCCAACATTTTTTTCTGTAATTATCAGTTTAGTCTTTCTACATTTCATTTTCCTATGATCTGCCTATAGTTTTTCCTGCCATGTATATATACCAGGATAACCTTTCATCTGTATGATGTAGAAGACTATAGTGTGGTCCATAATATATAACAACAATTTTCACATCTAGATGATGTTCAGGCAATAAGATGTCACCAGGAAGTGTGCTTAATCTCTAAAAAATATCAAGAGGATTTAAAATAATATTTCCTTCCTGTTTTACTTGTATTCCTACATGGGGTACTGATACCTAGAGTGTGTGATCATAGTTTTTAAAAGTAAATTTACATAAGAGATATGTAGCATTCACTACATATGCATTTAATTAATGGCATAGGTAAAAATGCCATTTGACAGCCATACTAGGTAATTCCTGAAGTGCCTGTTAAAAGAATAATCAGTTAAAATATTTTGCTCTCTTATAAATCCCCTCATATTAATAATTAAATTCTATAAAATTCAGCTGAGCATCCCCCATTTGTGTTATAGTTATGTTTCTGATGTGTTGAGCATTACATAAAACAACAACCAAAAGTGTTATAGTTCCATAAATTAAATAAAGGCTAACAAGGAGAGCTTTGAAGGGCATTCAGAAATAGAGATTGGCAAAATGTCCTAGGGATAGTATCAAAGCAGCTGCATCCTTTGCTAGTTTCACACAGCTACTTTAAAAGCTGCCTCGGTTGTCTCCACATCTGAGTGTATATAAAGCTACTTCACCACACACATGGTCCCAGGAGAAGAATTATCTGTGACTGAACATGCAGAGGCAACTAGGGATAACTTTCAAAGCAACCATGCCAGCCTTACAAATGATGCAGCTGTTTTAACACTTCAAAGAGAGATGTTTTGTGCTAAATTGCATTTCTTTCTCTTGCGCTACACAACCCAGCTAACAAGTTAATTGTATTAATCTTTAAGGTGGCAAAAGATTCTTTGTTGCTTTTACTGCAACAGATTAATATTGTTAACTGGTATGAACCATTAATGACAAGATTTTTAAACCTGCTGTTTTACTGGAAAATTTAAGAAAGTAACTAGGTAATATATTTAGCAGTTTAATAAACACACAACAAATTGTAATTATTTGATTACAACCTTTGACATCAAGAAAATAGCAAAATAAGTTAACAGAACCAGTGGTAACTTAATCTTCTTTATTCTTCTATCCCTTTCTTCCTCTGTTCTCCTATATAAGCATTTCTACCACCCTTTTCAGCTTCTTTGATTTAAGCTATAGAAAATATAAGCCTATTTAGGAAATGAGTGCACTGTGAACTTGGATCATGATGCTAAGTAGGCTTCAGTTTATCAAATAAAAGCTCTGGACTGAAAACGTAATAAGTACGTATATGAGATATTTGAGGTATGCTGGAGGTGGTGATTTTCACAAAATGAAAATAAAGATTTACAGGAAAGCAACTTTATTGCAATACATTAAGATAGCTTTGGGGATAAATGCCTATACTATATCAGTATAATGTGTTAAACAGCTGTTCAAACCCCCAAATAGAAGAGGAATCTCATGTTCCATTTTGAATCTTTCCATACATTAAGATCTGTAGGAAAGGTCCTTCTGAAGATGCCCCTTCTGCCAGAGCCTCACTGACCCAGCAGATGGGAGAGGGCTTTCTCCTGCTTTGGCCTCAGGAGCTACATTTTGAATCCCACTCTTTTGACCTTTAGAAAACTAAGGAAAGATGTTTATTTTTCTGTAAGTCAGAGGATAGAACTGGAGACAATGGAATGTGCTTTTACCATCATAATTCATTGGAATATTACAGGAGCTTCCCTTATTTTTATCATCCACCTGAGTTCTCTGTAGTAGTTGCTACTCAGTGACAATGCTCAACAACGAAAATGTTGAGACTCCCTCAAGTTGAGCTTCATTCCTAGTGCTAACACTAGGACACACCCATGAAGTTTTCGTTCTAGGAATGTTGAAGTAGCCATTGCCGCCTTCTAGGACATTTTTTCCAACCTCTCAGTCTAGACTATAGCATTAAAGTTTTCTGTTGGTCTCTCAGCCAATTAGTAACCAGGTTCAACCCTGCTTAGCTTTTTGGAGATCAGCCAAAGTCAGTTGGTTGCTGTCACTTGCTTGGAGATATTCAACGCCTGCCCCTCCTTAAGTACTGAACAGTTTGCATGCTGACAGAAAGACAGGGTATAATGAAATTGGCATGAAAGAAGAAATTGATAAAAGAAGAAAAGAATGGCAAGACAAATGTGTTTTTCACCATCTTATGTAAGAAAATAGTTTTGCTACTCCATAAAAGAAACCCCCTTTACCAAGAGAAATTCACTTCAACCTATTGGAGCTCTTCAGTTTAAATATGAAAGGGAAAACACAGACAATGTAGGATCTTCCAATAAGTGAACTGGTTCACTGAGTCCACTTTAGATTAGAGCATCCCGAATCACAGCCTCACTTTCAGCATGTATTGTCAAAACAGTTCTTTTTCTTGAGGTCACACAGAGTGACAAAGTTCAATCATTGGAGGGAGGGGCAAACCTGTGTCACAATCACAGTGGCTGATCATTCGCATGGAAGTTAATGGGTGACCTTTAAATGGCACCACTCAACTCTTTTGTCAAGCCAACAGGCCATTATCTATTCAGAAAAAGAAGGTACACCAAAGGCCACCAAAGAGAGCCTAAAATCTCTCTTCCAAATCCTGAGAGTTGGACTTAGCTCTCACGCCTCCTTTTCCAGAAGCAGATTTTCTTTTGAAGAACAGTTATTGCAACAGAAAGGTATCAACCAAACCAGCTAGTTTTCATAGAGCATCAGTTTTAATATGCAGTTTGGGAGGGAAAAGATAAAATTCACTCTGGGCTACTGATATTCATGAGACTAATGAAACAGGATCAAAATACAAGGCACAGCCCCCAAGGATTCACTTGTCTTTGTAACGTACATCATAAGTGACACGCAAATTCTACCCATAATCAGTCATTTTCTTTTTATGTCACAGTTAAAACAAGCAGCAAATACCTACAGGCAATGCCAACACCAAGGTCTATTTGAGTGGATTCCCAGCATCTGACTGTTCTTGAAGTCCTCATTAAATCACTACTCTCGTCTTAAGAAAACAGCCAGCAGCACTTGTCTGCATTCTCCTTTTGCTAATTAGAATTTTTATCCCACCCTCTCTTGAAGGCTCAGGGTGGGTCATTCTTCCCCTCCTCCCGTGAAATGTATCTTCCTACAAATAACACAATACCTAGAATCATTTCACCATCAGAATCTACAATCGGTTTAAGAGAATGCAATTCCGTTTGTCCTCGGAGTTCATTCTCAAACTCATCAGTCCTTCAAACTCTTCCACTTCAATGGATAAACAGCTCGCCATGCGGTTCAACAGTTAAATTACTAGGGAATTAACGGCCACCAATGCTCTTATTTCGTACATTTTCTTCTCCCCAGAGAATGCTTGCATTGCTCTCCATGGATTTCCCCTCTGTTTTATCTTCTAATTACCTCCAGAGGTAGTTCAGGCTGAGAGATAGTGGGTGACTAAAGACCACCCAAGGGAACTTAATGGCCAAACTGGGATTGGAACCTGGGTCTCCTGATCCAACGTTTTCCCAAGCCCCGCTACCTTCATTACACAAGAAGATCTAGCTATTTAAGGTTATGATTTCCTGCACTGTGTCATCTGCACGGCGTTATTTGAAAGCAACTAAGCACAGGGGAGTTATTCTCTGAAACGGACATGCAACCAGTGACCTCTCGCCTTTTTTCATCCCAGAAAATCCTCCATCCTCCAGCCCTCTGCGCTTCAGAAACCCCAAAGTGGAGCAGTTTAGCCCCTCAACTTTGGAAGCAGAAAGCGCCATTCTTAAGATTTCTGAGGTCTGGGGGAGGGAGAGGGGGAGGGGGAGGGGGCGAAGTGACTTGTCACCGTATAAACGTAATGCTCGTTTCCCATTCAATCCCGTCAAACGGGCTTGGTAGGCAGAGAGAGAAGTCTTTTAAATGAAACAAAACAACGTGGCCGTAAACTTTCCCTATTTCGCTTGTCGATCTTCCCCGGAGTATAAAGACCGGACGGCAAAGGCCGATGCCCCCCCCCCCCCCCCCCCCCCCACGCCCCCTCTTAAGGCCCCGTAGGTCATTGCCACTGCGTGCCAAATCCCGACCACAAAAAGACCTTTCCCAGTCTGGCGGTCCCAACTGCATTGGTCGAGGATTATGGGACTTTTAGTCCTTCAGGGCTGGTAGACATCAGGTTGGGCCGGGTCTTCTTGGAGATGGCAGACGAAACTCGGGTCAGCCATTCCCACGAGACCTGCCAACCCTCCTTCTCAGGGGCCCGAGGAAGAGACGCTCGCGCGCCGCCCAGGATCTTACCGTGGTATTCCTGTCCCGGCACATAGAAGGTCGGGTTCCCAGCAATGTGGAGGGAGATGAGCACCTCGCCTTGCTGGCCGTCCCCTTCCAACTCCCCGTGGTGCGTGCAAAGGAAGAAGAAGGGCGAGAAGCGCGGGTAGTATCCCCCGGTGCCTCGGGCCGCCGGGAGCATCACGCCCAGCAGCAGCAGCAGCGCCAGCCGCGAGGGACACGTCCGTCCGCGAGAGAGGAGCCGCCGCCGGGCCGGCGGGGCTG